GCATTCCTGGTGTCTGTGTTGGCTCAAAATATTCTCGAGGCTGATGGTCCATGGTTTGGAAGCTTTCTATCTGTAAGTCTTTGCATACTTAGCTATAGTTATAGTTCTGACCCTCTTTAAGTTTTTGCTCATAGAAGAATGCTACTTGGATTCTGGCAGAATGTTTCTATGGTCTTCTTCTGCGAAATGCTGATAGATATAATCAAACACTCATTTCTCTCAAAGTTCAATGGCATCAAACCTATCGCTTACTCCGAGTTTCTTGAAGCCCTCTGCGAACAGGTACCGCCAGTTTCAGCTCATTTTCGCATATTTCATGGAAATTGAAGTTTTATCCCCTAACATGTAATTTTCTCCGGTAATCACTCTCAGACACTGAACATTCAGAACAGAGACAGGAAGACGGTTCTCACTTTTGTCCCCTTTGCTCCCGCTTGTGTGGTACTGCTCTCCTCTTCCCGTTTTAATCGTACATCAAATCAAAGCCTGAATCTTGACATCTTTTTTTTCTGTATTTTCGGGTGGCAGGTAATACGGGTATTGACTCCAGTATATGCAGCATGCATACCGTATAAGCCTCAACCGCTGAGGATAGTCGGGATACTCGTCTTGTCCGGGGTAACATACATGATGATGACAAGCCTCAAAGTCCTAATCGGTATGGCTCTTCGGAAACACGCTACTTGGTACATCAATAGATGCCGAAAGCGAAAATTCCACCTCCACACCGATTAGGACATTATGAATTTACCCCACCCTCGAAAGTTTTTACTACAAAGGCAAAGAATGAATACAACACAAACACAAACACAAACTGTCATTCTTCTCTGAGTTCCATGGAAAGCTCGGCCAAAGAAATGTGTCCGGTCGAACAAAACTGAGGCTCTGGTTTCAGACAAGTGAGTATGCCTCTTTTGGGTTCTCTCTCGTCTGGTTTACATTTTTTTTACAGAAATATGATCAATCACAGTTCTCACAATCTGTTTTTGGTACCACAGGCATATATGTATATGTATATGTATATGTACAAAAACCCTACAAGGGATCCCAAAAACAAATGAGATGTTGTCTTTGTACAAATACGAAATACCCTACAATCCATTAATTTTGTTTTTAATCTTTTTCCTCTCGTAAATACATATTTAGTATAGCGCATGTTTATGAAAAGTAGATGCAGATTTGGAGTCATGTTTGTTTAAAGCAAAAAAAAAAATCTGTGTTTTGGGAAAAAAAATTAATTTAAATGAATATATGAATTATTTTCTCTATACGAATATATCAGTGGATATTTATATTATTAAACGGAATATTTGTAGTTAGACAACATGTTGGATCTTTATATGACAGAAATAATATATATATATATATACATGAAAAAATTTAATAATGCAGAATTGTTTTAGAATCTTGTACAGAAAATCCTGTAATTACTGTAATTGAAAAGGAATTTTGTTTAACGTGGAAAGACAGCTGGGTTCAAGGCTAATCCAAGTTTAATTCTGCCTCCTGACAGCAAAGATCTCATCCTCCATTCGGTTTAACCTCTTCGAAATTCCCAAAATACCCTTCTCATCTCCACTCCTTTTCTCCTCCCCCTTCCCCTCTCTCTCTCTCTCTCCCGATTCTTCGTCTCGTAGTTCTCATTCGAAAATGTCGGTGAGTTCTCCCCTCCTCGATCCTCGACCGTCGACCCTCTTTATCGGTTCTTTCGTTTCGATTCAGTTTCTGTTTCTTTTCATGGGTGTCGATCCCTTTGCTTTGGTTTGTCCTTTATGTTTTTTTGTTTACCGAGAAAGTGGGCATCTTGTTTGTTTTTTTTGATATACTGAAATGTGGAATTCTGTCTTTGGTCGGTCATTGGATGAGATCTCTTTACGGTTCTCTCAGTATCCGGAAAGCAACACCAAGAAATGTTCACTTTTCACTACGAGTATAATAGATAAAGTGTCTGTCACTGGGAGAGATTTGGAATCTAATAGATGCTTAGGTTCTTGAAATGATCCTATTATATTCCTCTTGAGCTTTCCCACTTCATCTCCAAGGTAAACCCAGTTTTCGGTGACCTTATAGCAGCTGATGGATTGGCTAATGTATGATCTCATGAGTTAGTGGCTTTGGAAAGTTTATTTCTTTCTTTAGGGTTTCGTTTTTCTCATGGAGGGTATTCTGATCTGCTCAAGTTGGTCTCGTTCATCAGGATCAAACTCAGCTGAACGCTCTGATGAATCCCCAGTCAACTCTTCTGGGTGTAAGTTGAAAGTTCCTGATTTTCATCTAGATGTCAGTGTGAATCAGTTTCATGTTTGGTAGATCCATATCTGAACATTTTACTTTTTAGATCCCTAACGGTAACAGATAGCACGAACGAATTTACCGAAAAAATCGAAACATGTAGCATGGATGAATCTTAGAGTCTTTAGCTGGTTTCTCGTTTTAGCGGAAGAGAGAACTCGCGAGACTCAATTGCGGTGTGAATTGTTGCAGGTTAGAACGGTGAAGATTAGCAATGTTTCGCTTGCTGCCTCTAAAAGAGATATCAAAGAGTTCTTCTCATTCTCGGGTGACATTCGATATGTTGAGATGCGGAGGTAAAACCATAAAAGAACTCTTCCCAAGCTTCTTCGTGTAATTAGTTTTATTTTTTGGTAAATCTTTACTAAAAACATTGTGTTACTTTCCACAGAGAGACTGAAGTGACTCAGGTTGCCTATGTTACTTTTAAGGATCCTCAAGGGGCAGAAACAGCCATGCTCTTGACAGTATGTTTTGTCTGAAACAATGCTGACTGCCAGATTTGTTTAGGGTTTTAACTATTTTATTAAGCTTCTTCGATAATTTCACACAAATCCTTGTTTAGGGAGCAGTCATAGGGGATCTTCCAATCAGTATTACTCCTGCAGAAGATTACCAGCTTCCCTATGAAGCCCTTTTCCTCGACTCGGTAAAAGAAAAAACTCCTTTTTTTCTGTGCTTGCATATTATATCAGCCACTGAAATTGGGAGCCATGCATTGGCAGGAAAGTTCTGCAGCTACTGGTTTTACGGTCAAGAAAGCTGAAGATGTGGTAAGCACAATGCTGGCAAAAGGTTATGCCCTTGGGAAAGACGCGATGGAGAAGGCCAAAGAATTCGACGATAGACATCACTTCACATCCAACGCATCTGCGACCATTGCTTCAATTGATCAGAAGATGGGTCTGAGTGAGAAGTTGAGCATTGGAACAGCAGTGGTGAATGGAAAGTTCAGAGAGATGGATGAAAGGTACCAGGTGACAGAGATAACAAAGTCGGCCTTTGCAGTTGCAGAGCAGAAAGCAATCAGTGCAGGAACAGCCATAATGTCCAATCCTTATGTATCGACAGGAGCTTCGTGGTTTTCAAACGCGTTTAGTGCAGTGGCAAAGGCAGCTGGAGATGTGGGCATATTGGCCAAAGAGAAAGCCCTCAAGTCTGAAGAGGAGAATCTGAAGATTGGCCACAAGGAAACAGGAGGGACCATTGATCATTTGGAAAAAACCAGTATTGGTGGCTTTTCTACCAGAGATCCTCCAGTGGTGCCTGTTAGTTCTGTTGATCCATAACCCAGAAAAGAAAATTCAAGTTCTTGATTCTCAATCTGAACGATCAATGATTCTTTCATAGTTTGATGTGCATATCTTTCACATGATCTCTTTATTGTTCAACCAAAAGACAAGAATCTACTTGCAATTGTTTCCAACAATGAACATTCTCATTTCAGCACACCAATGTAACATACAAAACCATTTGTTTCTGTAATAATACAACCACCAGTCTCAAAGATATAATTTTTTAAGCTTTCTTCCACAATGGTAAATGACCCAACTTAGGAACTGAGTTGAAGAAACCTCTGAGCCATTGGATGCTTGGCTTGAGAAAGATCTTGGGGCTTGAGGACTTCAACGATCTCACCATTAACGAGAAGGCAAACTATATCAGCAATCCTTTGGATTTGCTTTATACTGTGAGACACCATCACTATGGTCATCTCCCTCTGCTTCTTCAACTTCACTATAACATCCTCTATGTTCTGCGTTGAAATCGGATCCAGAGCGCTCGTGGGTTCATCCAAAAGCAACACCTTCAAAACAGAACCCGGTAAAAAGGAATAAATCAGCTAACTTGAACAGAACTGCCATTCGGGTTTGCCAGAAAACGCATCAAGCAGATCGAGAAACTTGCCTCGGGCTCGTTGGCTAGAGTCCGGGCAAGGGCAACACGTTGTGCTTGACCCACGGATAACTCCGCACCAATCTTCTCGCAGAAGGAAGCATCAAGATCTGCAAGCTTTAGCAGTTCACACACCTCTTTGTCACTCAGTTTCTGACCTCGCAGCTGTGGCCCGTATCTTACATTATCCGCCACTGTCCCTGCACTCATATATCACAACCATTATACATACAACCACCCATATGTGGATCCAGAACCTTGAAGAACTGTGTTAAAGAAGAGTTTTACTGAATCCAAAATCAAGACTTTCCAGTTGTGTCTATCCATTTCTTCACTCAACAGTTCATTTATAATCATATGATCTGAATTTCCAGTTTCATACGCTGCATAAATCAATCCACCACCCTGTCACCCAACAACTCAGCCCTTCAAGATAACAGAACATCCTATGTAACTCGATTCTAACCATTCCCAAGGACATTTATCTCCATTTCTGACACCCAACATCTCCTCAATCTCGGGTTCTAATTTTAGAACCCCAAAATAGCACTGACAGGGAACATCAAAGCAACCATCCTGAGTCTGCAATCAAATCAATACAACAATAAATAGCTTTGATATTACCATCAAACAGAACAGGAAGCTGGAAGAGCATTCCCACTCTACGACGGAGCATGATGACATCTATCTCCGTTATATCATCGCCGTCCAAGAACACCGTCGCCGGCGGCGGCTCCCAAAGACGGTTCAAACACCTCAAAAACGTTGACTTTCCGCTTCCACTTGGCCCTATAATCCCAACAATCATACCTCTCGGTATAGCCACTGTAACTCCTCTCAGAACCGGAGATCCGATTTCAGAAACCCGGGTCAGATCTCTTACCCAGATCTTCGGCTCCCGACTCGATTCTTGCCTCTCCTCAGCATCCACCACCACCAAATGCTCTAGCAACCCATCTGCGGAAACCAAAAGAAAATGCTAAGAACACATCACGTAAACAAAAAAGTTTGATACTTTTTTTCCATAATGGATCAATGATAAGACCTGAGGAGCCGTTGGGTTCAAGGAACGAAGCGAAAGGCATCGTCTTTCTTCTCTCCCGATAGGATGTTATACAAAAGATGTGTTTTTGTGTAAATATATGTATATATATGGTTGTGCATATGAGTTTTTCACCAGATGTACTCAATGACCCAGATGGAGGAATCCCCGTATATGGCCAAAGAACAAATACGGATGCTTATGGACAAAGATTCGGAGATGGAATTGCTTTGCGAGGTGGGGGAACCAATCAGTTGACGTTGACAAGTTTATATTATAGTCCCACTACCGATCAGAACTAAGTTGAAATTGTCCGTGGAATCAATCAATTTTAGCTAAATTAATCCAAATATATAAATTCCATCCTCTTTCTTCCTCTGAAGATCGATCTTATATCTTGAGGGACTTTTATCCAATTCTCGGATCAGATTCTCTCAACCCAGAATCGAACTGTTCAAATTTATAGAACTTGGAATCATATGATTCTGTCATTTGCCAACAGATTTTTTTGTTCTTTTCCACTGTTATCGAACATTTATCGTCAAATTCGATCATAAAGACAATCAAACAAACAAAAAAGAAGGGTCTTCTCGGTAGGAACTCTCTTCAGTTCAGGTCTCCAACTAAGTCTCAGCATATAAAGCTCAGGAGAACGAAAGTCATAGTTTTTCACATCATTAGAGACCACCGAGAAGAACCCTTCACAAACATGGCTTTTAGATTTCAGAAAACACTCGGAAATATATCGGAATTTTCGAAAAAGATTTGAACTTTCGAAGATCAATAAATAAATTTTTGCCTCCCCTCAGTTCAGGTCTCCATGGATTTCCGCATGAAGCAACTCGGAAGAACGAAAGTTTTATGATTTGATCATCCTCGGGAGGCAAATAGGAATACATATACGCATACACAATCACAAGTGTAGATACGAAGACATTAGCGACAGAATCAAAGGGGAAAACGAGAAATCGACAAAAAATGGAGCGACCTTGCATCGCTGTAAGACGAAGATGGTTGCAGCGATGATGTCTCTCCGCGATTTATAGCCATTGGAGGAGAGACGGCATGAACAAAACCCTAGGTCTGTCTTTATTAGGCTTCTCTCTCGTAACGGGCCTTTAGAATTGGGCCTCCCAAATCTTTGTCGGCCCATTGCTTTCCTCTCTCTGATGACAGGGGTGCTTTGGTCTTTTTACTTTGCACCTTCCACCCGAGAATCTTTTTTTTTTTTTTTTTGAAGAGGTGAATATAAATTCGAAAGCTCTTCTGAAAAGCTGCAATCTTTTTTGGAAATCCATTGTTCTTTTCTTTTGGGCAAATTCAGGTCTTACTAATATCGACTCATTGGCTAAAGTTTATGTAAATTTAGTATATTCCTCAGTGATACACTAACTGTAATATCTCAAGAACTGCCAAAGTGGAAAAGGAAAACCATCTTCAGATGCTTTCATAATGTTGGTTCCAGTCCACGAACAAAATCAAGGCTCCTCTTCTTCTTGCGCCTGTAGAATTCTGAATATTGACAAAAACATGTTTCTCATACATTCAACTGTGTCTCTTCTGAGGCCAGAAGCTCCATCTGTTCTGTCAGAAGATCAAGATTCCGAGATTTCTCGGGATCAAGGTCTTCCCCTTCAAATTCGTCGTCGGATCTCTCCATTTCCCGCAGAATAAGCTCGAGCATATTGCGCTTATCTGTTTCAACCTCCATTGTTGAATCTCCATGGCTCCTTTCTTCGTCAAGGGTGGCGTTCTTCGCGCTCTTCTTTGATGGGCTCAACAGCAGAAGCTTTTCCCATGCGCCATCGTCGTATAGATCGGGTATGATCAATGGGACGTGATTTTCGTCCACACATATCTTCATCATATCGGCGTTTCTGATGAAATCTTTCAGCATGTCTGAGGAAACACTACCAACAAGCTCTGTAGAATTGGATACAACTGGCTTTACTGTTCCATTCTGTGGTGGCTGGTATGTCACTAAAGGAAGACTGGTGGGCAGAGACTCGCCTTCCTCGGTAACCTCTTCCACTATAGCTGTGGCCTCAGTCACTCGCCAGCTGCTTTCTTTCGGCTGAAGCAACTGAACCAGAAGGCTAGGGTTTTGCATAACCATTACCAAGAACGAAAGCATCTGTTGCTGGCTTTCTTCCATTCCTTGAACCCTGTCTTTCAGATTTAACAGTTTACCATCTGCCGTTTCCTGGTACTGCCTAAGCTTGATCAACTCCTGCATCATCACGTTTTTATCGCTCTTCAAGTTCTCAACATCCTTCCACAGTTCGCTGTTTTCAGGCTTCTCCAATTGATCGGATGTATTCTCCTGTTTATGAGAGCTTTTCCTCTGGTCGAGGCTTTGAACGTTTTTCCTCCGGGTGATAGTCTTCATTGCATCCTTTTGGCCTCTGACAAACCCGTCATTTGCAAACTCCCACCTATCCGCATCGACTTTCCTAAAACCCTGTAAGAAAATTCAAAGAGGTCACTCATTAACTTGCCACATTCCAACAACATAGGCATATACACAACACAGCAGATAGAGATCGATTGATAACTGAAGTAAAATCTCTGCCACAAACTTATACAAAAAGAAGCACTTACAATGAACAGAATCTCAGCTTCTTGTTAACATCAAGTTTATATTTCAGCTAAAAGAGCTTAGCATAAGAAAAAGAACAGGATCCAGTTCATCCCCACAGAATCATCCACTTCTTGTTTGCCCATCTCAAGTTCTCACAGAGAAATTTTGGCATGGAATATCCATCACAAAGCTTTGAAATTCTATTCTAATACACGACACCTTTTTGCCAAAAAAAAAAAAATCCAGAATCCTAGGATAGAAACAACACATCTTCCTCCATGACTCATATCCAGAAATCTCTAAGCTTATTGCTTCATCTTGCTATTAGACATTATTTATTCAGCTAAGAGAAACCCTCCATCCATAGAGTTCACTTTTGATAGAGCCAGAGAATTGAACCAAAAAACCTAGAATTAACATTGTCTAACCCAAGACAGCAAATCAATCACACATGCAATATATTGCATCTTCAAACCCTAGCAAACAGAAACTGGAATTAACAATCTAGCATGAAAATATTCGTTCCAGAAACCCATCTGGCTAAAACCAAGAAACCATGAATTCAGGACGCCAATAAAGAGAGGAGGCACACTAACGTAGATATTGAGTTGTCGGATGAAGCTAGAGAAGTTGCTGTGCTTGAAGAATTTGGGCAACAACCCAACAGAGAACTCTGTAATGTCCCAGATTACGAAGCTGTTATCTCCGGTTCTACTCCACGAGATTATCGAATCCGTCGAACCATCATCCACCATCTCGTAACATTTCTTCAGGAATGGCGCCACCGAAGTCGACGACGACCCGTCATGTGCCGATTTCACCATTCCTTAAAAAAAAACCCTCAAATTTCGAAATTTTGAATCGATTCGAGCGTTAAAAAAAAATCGATTTTGAGATATGGGGTTGTGCAGTATAAGAGGAGAGAAACCGACAGGAATTGTACGGCGGAGGAGACGAAGCTTGCGCTTTGGGCAACGAGAAAATTCCACGAAGAAAGGATGACGATGACGCGTCTCCAAGATACTTTGAGGCATGAAATTAGCAAATTTTATATTTAAAGACGTTTCATTTAATTTAATAAGTTTGGGCCGACAATTTCATATTGGGCCAATAGAAAGCCTACATTTCAATATCATGGATCTAGGCCCATTAGGCCCATGTGTCTACACCATCCTGATTTTGTAATTTTTTTGAAACCATCCATCATGGTATGGTTAATTCTTTATCGGATTAAATACCGAATTTCAATAATATTGTCTTTAAGAATTGTTATAATAATCCAATATAAATATGAAAAAAAAGACAAATTCATTTACAGAAAATGGGAGAATTTGTTTGTTTTTGCCAACGAATCAAATTTCTTTTGTTGTCGGTTGAGTATTTATATTATGTTACGTTGAAATGTTTTGATTATAATATGAATGTTATTTGATTGATGTGGCCTTTGAGGAAAAGTGTACCGCTAGTGAAGCATCTTCCATCCTCACCCTTGGATATGTTCCCTTAGATTCCTGTGTCTCTATCGTCACAAATTTAAATTATTTTCTCAAATAATAAAAAATATAAATATTACAAAATAGATTATTAAACTTCCAAATATATATACATATATAGTCATGATTGGAAAAAAAAAAAAGAAGAAGTAAATGACCACATTAATTGGTGAGACAATTAAGGGCTAGATGGGAAATATGATTAAGATAATATCGCATTGAATAAATGGCATATTGGTCAGACTAACATTATGGCTCCCATTTAATTAGTGGGGCAAAAATATATAAATATGTAAATCAATCAACCCGGAGACATTATATATATATACACCCCAAAAAAATTACCATTTCACATCTCAAATATTCTCTGTTTGGCAGTAATCCTAATATTATCCCTCTATTCTAAATCGGGGAAAATATTTATAGTATGGTAAGCCATTTCATATTTTCTACCTACCAATAAATATATAAATATCATAAAAGCTAATCTATACAAAATTTTATCTCATATATTGGCAAATATGTTAATTATTGAAATAGATGTCTGGCATGCTATTGTAGTAATTATTATTTAAAATATCTAAGATTTTATAAATTAGTTTAATCGTGGCATTGCCACGTGTAAGGGATGGACGACCAATCATATGGATCTTGTTGACTAAGACAGCCTATTCTTTTATGTTATCCTTGAAATTGTATAATGCAACTTATATTGTTATTTTATTGTTGTTTTTCCCCCGATGATAAATTCATATGGGTGTGTATGTGCAAAATCTGACGTGGACCATTCCATGTGATTTCAATTTCTATTTGAAAAAATATAATCACACGATTTTGCAAAAGCTCAAAATCCCAAACTGATTCTATTTCTTTGATACGTGTCAAGTACACTTCAACCTTTTCAAATAGCACTCAACTCATCCGGTCTTATTCCCCCTGAGTAAACTTCTCGTACCACAAGAAATTCTATCAGTTACAAACAATATGTGTGCAGCGCACAACCCGTATCACCCCCTAGACAGCGTCTAGGTCTACCAAGCGGTTCGTCTGTAACTTAAGACTCCCCCTCAGTTACAACTCACGTTCACTCAGAATTCTCTCATCAGTGTTTCCCATACATGTTACGCTCACCGAGATTCCAGACTCTGCACTCTCTCACCAATAGTCTCGCCAACCTTCAACAATGATGTCTTCAGTCCATATATGCCATCGTTCATTGATTCTCTCCATATCTTCAGAATATGCATTTTTCCTTTTTCTTCATTGATACAAGTGTCTTCTTTCCTTTTGTTGCTTCTTTCCTTTTGTGCTTTCCAGATTCAGCTCCAAATTTCCATTTGTTGATTTGAACCTTCTAGATGCTGAATATGCTATTTCCTTACTTTAACAATCTCCCCCTTTTTGATTTTCTGTTTAGACACATTCAAACTCACAGAACACAAACGCAATTCATAACAACTAGGATATAGTTATCCTTTAAGTTCAACAAGTCATGAAAAAGCAAGAACTAGCAAGAAAACAACACGAATCAACACATCAGATTAGACACAAAAACAACCACATAAGCTAAGTCGCTGATGAGCCATGATGACCATGATGGTTAGTCAAACACAGATCAACTTCTCGAAGTTGGAAGTTTCATTCACTCTGTTCCTTCTGATTCTCCTTCCGATTCTCATTCCTCCTCATTTTCAGCTTCATTTGACACGTCATCCTCACCCATTATTCCTTTGCCTTTGTCTTTTGCACTTGATGAGGGTGTTCCACCTTCACTTTCTCCCCCTGTGTGGGTAAGCAGAAATTCAAAACATTAGATATGAAATATTCGGAAACCATACCTGGGTGAGGAATACTATCTGCCAATTACTCTGAAACTCCTCCCAAAGAGCGTGTTGACGAGCACGAATTTGGGCTATGATTTTAGTGTTCTTCCTCTGTAGTTGTTCCACTTGAAGTAACTGCTTGTCATGTTTTATGAGGATAGTAAACGCCTTGCTACAGAGTTGTGTTCGACTCATCCTAGCCTGTTGTACTCTGGATTCAATGACCAATGGTCGCTGAATTACTTCAGTGATCTCCGAATCAGCAAGAATCTCTGGACTTTGTCGGACAATAATGCTCTGGATGAGGCAGGGGTGAGGCAGCAAATAACGCATTCTCATATCAGCAGCTCGAGACAGTATGTGACTGTAGATGATGCGGCCAAGATTTACATCCTCTTTCCTCAACAGCTTGAATATCAGTAGTGCTAACTCATCTTGAATCACATCAGATCTTCGAGTCAGTAACCAATTTGTCTTTCCAATCAGTTGCATAACCCGACTTTCAAACTTGAGACATGTTATGGGAATCTTCCCATTCCTTTCTGCCAGATACTCTCCAGTGAGAGCTACCTCCAAATCTTCAAGTGAAGTTCCTTCAGGTAAATCTTCCAATCCTTGTAAGGCATTATCAGGTGTTCCCAGCAACCGATTGATAACTGTTGGAGAAAACTCAATAAATCTACCTCTCACATAGGCCTTGTGATGCAAGAAGTCTCCAGGGATGTCAGTGCGTTGAGTGAGATTCGCATAAAACTCTCTAACAAGCATTTTACTAAATGCACATGCATAGATCATCGTCCCCGTCAGTTGCCTTTCTTCAAACAGAGTCCAAATGCGATTTTTCCGAAAATCCATCACATTGACATTGCGTTCAGCAATTACATCTACTCCTTTAAACTTGTCAAACCTCTTCTTAGTTTCTACAGATAAGAATCTATCAGAAAGAGGTTTCACACCTGTTTCACTGGGTGTGACAGATGGTTCTGAAGGACCTTCATCACTCGTTCCTTTTCCTTTCCGAGTTGTCTTCCTTTTCTGAGCGCTTCTTCCATGTGCTGAATTGCCTTTGCGCTTCCGAGTGACATTTCTTGCCTTAGCTTTCTGTTGTAAGACAATCAGGGTCTATCAGAGTCATCAAAACTCACCGGGTGAGGCAGAGATACCTCAGGTGCACGCGATTGCATTTCAGTTTCATCTTCCTTCTCCGCTATACTGGGTATTTCTTCCAGTGCTTCAGTAATCGTTCGTTCACTCCCACCTTCTCTCTCCTAGACATCTTCACAGACGATTTCGTCGACCGTAACCTCCTTTTGATTCTCACCGTCTTTTGGATTCACGATTTCAGGTGTGATTTGCGTTGGTTCTTCAGTTAAGTCCTTTCTCGGGGCCGTCTCTGTTTGCACTTTGTCTTCACCCAAGTTCTTCTCAGAGAGATCTTGACTGTCTTTGTCTTTAGGTAAATCGGACGCGACATGTTGTGTTGATTGTGACGAAGCTGTTGAATCCTTTCTAGAATGTGGCTTTCTCTTTGTTCTCTGAAGTGGAGCCACATCAGAATCTGATTTCTCTTCTTCTCCAGGATTCCCTTTCTCATCCACCTTGCTCATATGCGTCTCACCTGTATCCATTTGCTTAGATTCCTCGACAATCTCAGGGAGTTGAGATTTACCTGGTTCGCTTGAAGTTTTGGCCGCGTTTCGAGCTGAGCGACATTCCCCTTGTCTGAATGTCTTTCCCGATTTCTTGTTCGTCATGATAGTGAATGAATTTAGAGGAAGAACTGTCGAAATCAAACCGCTAGAGAGAGAAAGAGCAAAACTTGACAGGATGTGAGGTAAGTATGCGAGAAATTAGGGCATGTCCATAAACCGCTCAATAAATGATGCAAAATTCAAAATAATTAGAAAATTTGATTATTTTTCAATTCCCGCTCTAAAACAATTTAGCATATTTACATCTCCAAATCCCCTCGATAATTCCAGGTTGCAGTTGAACACTTAGAAAACATCGGATAAATCATCAGCGAAATATGAAGTTGAATAATTAAGTCAAGAATACCTGTCGTGGAGACAATCAAGTCTAGAGAGTGAATCTTCTGGTCAGTTGCACCTCACACAATCTCAGGTGCTTTTCATTTTGTATACAGGTTTAATTAGGCACACTTTGCAGTATGCAAGTTCTGAACTTCTAGGACGTTGTATCAACAGTTGTATCAACAAAACTTGTAATTTAGCCCCTATACTAATGAAATGTACCTGAGACATAGTGAAGTGCTTTTGACCTTTAGCCACATCTCCTTGACTCGCTTATCTCCTGACCTGTACCTTTCCCTGCATATTCTCCGTAAGAAAAATGTGAAAGACATTTTTAAAGTTCTCCAACACCAAGGGATTTTTGCAAACCAACAAACTTGTTCATATCAAGGGGTTTAGTGAATATGTCAGCCAATTGTTTCTCAGTAGGAACATACTCAATCATCAAGATTTTCTTTTCAACTTGCTCCCTCAAAAAGTGATGACGAATTTCAATGTGTTTTGTTCGTGAGTGCTGCACAGGATTCTTAGAAATATTGATTAGCACTCGTATTATCACAATGAGCAGTAAAAGAAGATAAGTTGATACCGTAATCGGAGAGCATCTACCGCATCCACAAGAGTTGAGTACAACAACTTCCCAAGGCAATGTACTCTGCTTCAGCTGTGGACAGTGATGTAGAGTTCTGCTTCTTGCTGTGCCACGCTACCATGTTATTTCCAAGGAAGAAACAACCTCCAGAAGTACTTCGTCGATCGTCAGCATGACCTCCCCAGTCAGCATCACAAAACTCCACCAGTTCACAGCTTGAATCCTGTGTATAGTGCAAACCAAACTCCAATGTTCCCTTCACATATTTTATGATCCGCTTGACAGCTTGCAGATGTGACTTCTTCGGTTTAGCTTGATATCTTGCGCAGATTCCAACACTTAGGCACAAGTCAGGTCTACTTGCAGTAAGATAAAGTAGACTTCCAATCATTCCACGGTAGAGCTTTGTGTCTACATCCTCTCCATCTTCATCTCGGGTTAACTTCGTTGTTGTGGACATAGGAGTTTTTGCCGATTTGCTTCCATCCAGTTCAAATCTCTTGACCAAGTTTCGAGCATACTTACTTTGAGAGATGAACATTCCATCAGTTGTTTGTTTCACTTGCAACCCGAGAAAGAAATTTAATTCTCCAAACATGCTCATTTGAACTCATCAGTCATCATCTTCACAAAGTTATCCACTTTCTCCTAAGAGACAGATCCAAATACGATATCATCAACATACACTTGAACCACCATGAGCTTACCATCATCATTGTGAATGAACAAAGTCTTGTCCACTTCCCCTCTTTTGTATCCGTGCTCAACCAAAAAGGAAGTCAGCTGTTCATACCACGCACGAGGAGCTTGCTTAAGACCATATAGTGCTTTCTTCAAATGAAAGACATGATCTGGAGAATGGGGATCTTCAAAACCAGTAGGTTGTTCGACGTACACTTCCTCCTGGAGTACTCCATTGAGAAAAGCACTCTTGACATCCATCTGAAAAAGTTTGAAGTGCAAGCTACACGCAACTCCGAGGAGTAATCGAATGGATTCGAGACGAGCAACGGGTGCAAAAGTCTCATCAAAATCAACTCCCTCAATCTGAGTGTACCCTGAGCAACTAAACGTGCTTTGTTGCGAACTATCTCCCCAAACTCGTTAGTCTTGTTTTTGAAAATCCACTTCGTGCCAATGACATTTGTATGGTGAGGACGAGGAACTAAATACCAGACATCATTGCGCACAACCTGTTCCAGCTCTTCTTGCATCGTCCGAACCCAGAACTCATCATGAAGCGCTTCACATACCTTCTTTGGTTCAAATTGAGAGTTAAAGCAGACAAAACGAACCAGATCTTGATAATTGATTCTGGACTTATGCCGAGTCTGGCGAGGAGCCTGAAGATCGCCAATTAGATCACTAGCAGAGTGATTCTTGTGCACAGGAATTGATGTTTCTGGTCCGGATAAACTGTCATCAAATTCTTCAGTGTCGATGGAAGATCCATCTGACTCATCTTTCAGAAGAGGGGCAGGGGCAGTACGAGAGCATTCTGGGATATCCCGAGAAGTACTTGGCTCCAGTGAGATACCTTCAACTCACCGGGATGTTTCCTCATCAAAGATAACATTGGCGGATTCCATCACTGTTTTAGTACGAAGATTGAACACTCGGTACGCAGCTGAGTTTTGTGCATATCCAAGAAATATTCCTTCATCACTTCTGGGATCCATCTTGCCAAGATACTCCCTGTCGTTTAGAATGTAACACGTACAACCAAACACATGAACATACTTAAGGGGAGGAGACCGTCCCTTCCAGATTTCGTAAGGTGTTTTGGTCATACCAGAACGCAGATAGATCCGATTGATCAGATAACAAGCAGTGCTCATGGCTTCAGCCCAAAATCTCATGGCAACATTTTTAGCATGTAGCATAGATCGTGCCATTTCCTGAAGAGTTCGGTTTTTTCTTTCCACCACTCCGTTTTGCTGAGGAGTCTTTGGAGCAGAGTATTCATGAGCAATACCTTGAGTGTCACAGAATGTGTTAAACAACTCATTCTCAAATTCCCTACCATGATCACTCCGTATCCGTTGCACCATTCCCTTTCCATTTTTCAGTTGCAGACACAGATGTTGAAATGCAACACAAGCCTCACACTTTTCTCGAAGAAACCGGACCCAAGTGAATCTGGAGTAATCATCAACACATACAAGAACATACCGTTTTCCACCAAAGCTTTCGGTTTGCATAGGACCCATCAAATCGTGTGCATGAGCTCCAAGATATGTGTTGTGTGTACATGGTCTGTTTTCTTGTGACGAATGCGAATCTGTTTCCCCAGTTGGCATGCTTTGCAGACAAACTTGTCATCGTGAGATAATTCTGGCAAATCTCGAACAGCACCTGACTTTGACAATTTGACAAGCGCTCGCATATTGATATGTCCAAGTCTTTGATGCCACAACTCCATGTCGTTTTTCTTTGCAATGAAATTCAGATGCTGAGTAGACTCCCTTTGTGTGTGGACCCAAGTATAACAGTTATTTGTGTTTCTCTTCCCTGTCAGAACATACTTATTGTCAGCATCAGTTACAAAGCAAGCATTCTTTGTAAACTTCACTCTCATCCCAGTGTCACACAGCTGACTTATGCTGATAAGATTGGTTTTCAATCCTTGAACAACTTTAACTTCGGTTAACTTGGACAGCCCAGCATGATCCAGTATTCCTTTACCAAGAATCTTTCCTTGTTTGCCGTCACCAAACGTAACACTTCCACTGTTCTGTGTTGCTACAAAATCTTTGAGCAGTTCTTGATTTCCTGTCATGTGCCTTGAGCAACCACTATCAAAGTACCAGGTTCCAGTGTTTTTCGGTTTGCTCAGTAGTTTAAGCAACATTACACATTAGATCTGATTTTCGAATCCATCTTAAGTTCCAAGGAGAATACCCAAAAGATTGTGCTGAATACCTGGAAATGCCCCTGTTCCTGCTTAGATAGAAACAGTTTCTTCTGAGATGTCCCACTTTACCACAGTGATAACAGCATCTGTCTTCTTGATGTCTCCAGTTGGATGGGCGTACTGGTTGTCTTGATGGAGGGTTTTTTCGCTTCACGTCAGGTAGTTCTTGGCTCAAATTACCTCCAGACACAAAGTTAGATCCGGACGAAGACTTTCCTCGATATCCGAGACCAGAATGATCTCCAGTGTTTCGACCTTGTCCAAGCAGATGATCTAATTTTCCAGTCTCATTTCCAAGAAGATGTAGATTCTTCCTGGTTCCTTCCAGTTGGCATTTCATCAACGAAGCCTCTTCTTCTTTTTGTGCAAGTTTTTCTTGAGTATCTGTCAGCACCAGTTGAACTTGTTGGAGTTCCTTCTCCAGTTGTTGTTTTTCACTGATCAGTTGCTTATTCATCAACACCAACTTGTTCATTTCTTTGAATAATTCCTCCTCAGTGACTTCTTCTTCATCACTATCCTCTGCTTGATCATTTTCTTCCTCAATGATCCCAAGAAATGCTACAAAGTTGAACAGATTTTCTTCATCACTCTCTTCCTCAGATGAGCTATCTTCATGAGAGAGAAAGGATTTTCCTTTCTGTTTGGTACATTCCATCTTAGTATGTCCAAATCCTTTGCATTCAAAACATTGTGTCTCCTTGAGATTCTTTAGCACACTCTCTCTCTTTGCAATACTCGGACACTCAGCCTTCCAATGTCCTGTGCCTTTGCATTCCAAGCATTTTCCTGAATCTCTGTCACTTAGTTGTCCAAATTTCTTCTTTCCCTTGAAAAATCTATTGAACTTCTTAATGACCAGTGCCATCTCATCATGTAGCTCTTCTTCAGCCTCTTTTTTATTCTTTACTTGTCTTCTATTCTCCGAATCAATCTCATTAGTTTCGGGGACATGAAGAGCAATACCTTGTCCCTTCTTGGTTGAAACCGACGATCCACCATTCATTAGTTGCAGTCTCAGTTCATGTGCTGCAAATGTTCCAACAGCTTTCTTGAAGGTGACAGTCTCCAGATTGTTTACGCCTTCAAACACCAGAATCTGTGAGTGATACTTGGCTGGTAGGCTATTCAGAAGTTTCTTTACCAGCTTTTCGTTACTTATTCTTTTCCCAAGTACACTTGCCTCATTCGATAAGGCACTCAACTTCCCACAGAATTCCTTAACACTTTCGTCATCTCCCATCCTCAATCGTTCAAACTGAAGATCTATCATATCCAACCTGTTTCTTTTTACCTTGGATGTTCCTTCATGAATAAGCTCCAAAGTATCCCATGCATCCTTAACAGTTTCACATCCTTGAATCTGTTCAAATTCTTCATGACACACACTGTTGAAAATGATAGACAGCGCTTTCTAATTCATAGCAGAATCCTTCTTCTCTTGTGGTGTCCATGCGCTTTTCGGCTTCGGTTTAGCAACTCCATCAATGATATCTGTGGGTCGAGTCCATCCATCAGTAACAACACTCCAAGTATCTTCATCCAACCCTCGAATATACGAGCTGATCTTGACTTTCCAGTGTCCATAGTTGGTAGAATCCAACAAGACAGTTTTTCCAATGGTTTGTAATTCCTTGAGACCTTCCATCGTGTGAATCTGAATCGTACACCGATATGAGAGGACAGCAATTCCTACAATCAGTGACCTGCTCTGATACCAATTGAAAAAATATAATCACACGATTTTGCAAAAGCTCAAAATCCCAAACTGATTCTATTTCTTTGATACGTGTCAAGTACACTTCAACGTTTCCAAGTAGCACTCGATTAACCCGGTCTTACTCCCCCTGAGTAAACCTCCCGTACCACAAGAAATTCTATCAGTTACAAACACTGTGTGTGCAGCGCACACCCGTGTCACCCTAGACAGCATCTAGGCCTACCAAATCCCTCAGTTACAACTCGCGTTCACTCAGAATTCTCTCCCCAGTGTTTTCCATATATGTTACGCTCACCGAGATTCCAGTTTTTGCACTCTCTCACCAATAGTCTCGCCAACCTTCAACAATGATGTCTTCAGTCCATATATGCAATCGTTCATTGATTCTCTCCATATCTTTAGAATATGCATTTTTCATTTTTCTTCATTGATACAAGTGTCTTCTTTCCTTTTGTTGTTTCTTTCCTTTTGTGCTTTCCAGATTCAGCTCCAAACTTTCATTTGTTGATTTGAACCTTCTAGATACTGAATATACTATTTCTTTGCTTTAACACTATTAACGGACCATCTCATCATAGAAGATGGGTACGTAAGATACTGTATCTAATCTCTATTAGTGATAATCATTGACTAATTTAGAAAAATATAAGATTTATATATAAATAAATAATTAACAAACAAACATTTCAAGAGAGAAGAACACGCTACTCGAGGGAGAGGCTCCCTTGCCGAGAAAAAAAGCTACAGGATGCCGACACGTATCACGCTCAACAACATGCAAGAGTGGATCGCCGCACGACACGTGGAACCTTTTCCTCAGCACAATAGCCCAACGTTTTATTTGTTTCGGACAGTAGCTTTTGTTGTACGAGCGGATAAGATCAAAGGGCAGAGAGGGTATACCCTACATCCAAGTTTACGGTACACCACGTATTTGAACCGTCGGATATTTTTATTACTCGGGATCATCTCTGATCCAACGGCCTACAAGAATTTATCTGAAAGATATTTTTGTCTCTCTTTTTTGGGTCTGTAAAATGAAAGCTCGTTGACCCCTTGGGGATCTCAGGCCGAAGAATTCAAAAACAATGCGTACTTCTCACACAGCTACTTGCAGACATATACGTATATACATATATATATATATATGCATAATTAATTATATGATTTGTCTCTGTTCCTTGTTTGGAGAAACTGTGGTTTTGAACTCCGCCGCAACTGTAAAATTTCCAGGAAAGTTTCATTCTTTCTTCCTTCGTCTTGGATTCTCGAGTGAATGCTCTTCTCTGCGGCAAAACCCTGAAAAGAGAGACCAAGTGGCAGAATCCCCATCTGAAGAAAAGTGCTGGTAATGATAATAATCACTTAATTATAACTCCTCTCCCACTTGATTTGTGGAGGAAAAGAAAGGGCATTTCATGAACAGTCACAGATCTCTCTTTTTTATTTGTTTCTCTCGTTTAATATCTCGCTGCTGGATTTTTTGAACCTATTCTCCTTCCCTTTTTCATGAAGCTTTGATTGATCGTGTATTTGTCAAAAGTCCCATCTTTGACGCGAAAATATCTTCTCTTGCTCTGCTTGTGTTTTCTTGCTTTCTCAGACAGCATTTTCCTGTTTCTTCGTCCTTCCCATGTTTCTTCGGGCTACAACCTAAAAAAGGGTACTTCCAGTTTCTCTCAAACTCTGTCCTTTCCTCTGTGCTTTGGATCTTTCTCCAGTTAGAAAACCGCTGTTGCTGTTGGTTGGTTCACCGAAGGAGGAGACGTAAGATATGGTGTCGAGATCATATTCGAACCTATTGGACCTTGCCTCGGGTGACTCGCCGTCTTTCGGTCGCATGAGCAGACAGATTCCTCGGATCATGACGGTCGCTGGGTTCATGTCTAATATCGACGACGACCCCGCAGAGAGTGTATCCTCCGATCCATCCTCTTCGACCGCTCGAAAGGACCGTCTGATCATTGTAGCCAATCAGCTGCCGATTCGTGTCCAGAAGAGATCTGAAAACTCCAGTACCAGTACCAGTAGCAGTAATATCGGTTACAAAAACTGGATCTTTACTTGGGATGATAATTCGCTGCTACTCCAATTGAAAGATGGGTTAGGGGATGAAGAAGAAACTGAGGTTATTTACGTTGGTTGTCTGAAAGATGAAATCCATCCAAATGATCAAGAGGAAGTGTCTCAGATTCTTCTGGAGACATTCAAATGCGTGCCCACGTTCTTGCCACCTGATCTCTATAGCCGATACTATCACGGATTCTGTAAGCAGCATCTGTGGCCTCTGTTTCATTACATGTTGCCATTGTCGCCGGATCTCGGTGGCAGGTTCAACCGGAATCTATGGCAAGCTTATGTGTCGGTGAACAAGATTTTCGCCGATAGGATCATGGAAGTGATCAACCCTGAGGATGATTTCGTGTGGATACATGATTACCACCTGATGGTTTTACCGACGTTCCTGAGGAAGAGGTTCAACAGGGTGAAACTCGGTTTCTTCCTCCATAGCCCGTTCCCGTCTTCGGAAATCTACAAGACTCTGCCTGTTAGAGAGGACCTTCTCAGGGCTTTGCTAAACGCTGATTTGATCGGGTTCCATACCTTTGACTATGCGCGGCATTTCCTGTCTTGCTGCAGCCGAATGCTCGGGCTTACTTATGAATCCAAGAGAGGGTACATTGGCCTTGAGTATTACGGTAGAACCGTTAGTATCAAGATTCTTCCGGTGGGAATCCACATGGGCCAGCTTCAGTCGGTATTGAGCCAACCAGAGACAGATGCGAAAGTTGCTGAGCTTCTTCATCAGTATTGTCGGAAAGGCAGGATAATGTTGCTCGGTGTGGACGACATGGACATCTTCAAAGGAATAAGTCTGAAGCTGTTAGCTCTGGAGCAGTTGCTTATGCAACATCCAGAATGGCAAGGGAAGGTTGTGTTGGTTCAGATAGCTAATCCTGCAAGGGGAAAGGGCAAAGACGTAAAAGAAGTACAGGCCGAAACTCATTCAACAGTTAAACGTATTAACGAGACCTTCGGAAGACCCGGGTATGATCCTGTGGTATTGATCGATGAACCACTCCAGTTCTACGAAAGGGTTGCTTACTATGTTGTTGCTGAGTGTTGTTTGGTAACAGCGGTTAGGGATGGAATGAATCTCATACCTTATGAATACATAATTTCCCGTCAAGGAAACGAGAAGCTGGACAAAAATCTGAGTTTGGAACCGAATACTCCCAAGAAAAGCATGTTGGTGGTATCTGAATTCATCGGTTGCTCGCCATCACTTAGCGGGGCTATCCGGGTTAACCCATGGAATGTCGATGCAGTAGCTGATGCAATGGACACTGCCCTGGAATTGTCTGAACCGGAGAAACAACTTAGGCATGAGAAACATTATAAGTATGTAAGCACACATGATGTTGGGTACTGGGCTCGGAGTTTCCTACAAGATCTTGAGAGGAGTTGCATTGATCACGGCCGGAGGAGGTGTTGGGGGATCGGATTTGGTCTCAGTTTCAGGGTTGTGGCACTCGATCAATCTTTCAGGAAGCTGTCGATGGAACATATAGTCTCGGCTTATAAGAGAACGAAGACTCGAGCTATTCTTTTGGATTATGATGGCACGTTGATGCCTCAGGGTTCTATTGATAAAAGACCATCTTCGACGTCTATCAATATATTGAACACCTTGTGCAGAGACAAGAGCAACCTTGTATTCATCGTGAGTGCTAAAAGCCGAGAAACACTCTCAGACTGGTTTTCTCCTTGCGAGAAGCTTGGAATTGCTGCTGAACATGGGTACTTCCTGAGGTAATTATACAAAACCCGCCCTCAAACTATTCCTTTCTCCTCTGTACTTCTCCCAGTTTCATCATCGTATTTCAAAGGGGTCTGATCCATTTTGTCCCGAAAATATTGTGGCGAATACCACAGGCTGAGGAGGGAAGCAGAATGGGAAACGTGTGTGCCTGTGGCAGATTGCGCTTGGAAGCAAATTGCAGAGCCTGTGATGCAGCTTTACACCGAGACAACTGATGGATCGACGATTGAAGACAAGGAGACAGCTCTTGTTTGGAGCTATGAGGATGCTGACCCGGATTTTGGCTCATGCCAAGCTAAGGAGCTTCTTGATCACCTTGAAAGTGTTCTTGCCAATGAACCGGTCACAGTCAAGCGAGGACAAACTTTCGTCGAGGTCAAACCACAGGTTCGTACTGCTATACAGACCCAGAATCTGTGACCTTTTTCTGTTTTGCTTGTACCAACTCTCACATACTTTCTTGTTCTAAACGCAGGGCGTGAACAAAGGTCTTATTGCGACAAGGTTGCTTTCGACAATGCAAGAAAGAGGAACATTACCCGACTTTGTCCTGTGTATAGGAGATGACCGGTCTGATGAGGATATGTTTGAGGTCATCATCTCCTCCATTGAAGGCCCTTCTGTTGCCCCAAGAGCTGAAGTGTTTGCTTGTACTGTCGGACAGAAACCCAGCAAGGCCAAGTATTACTTAGATGATACGGCAGAGATTGTCAGGTTGATTCACGGGTTGGCTTCGGTTTCAGACGAATTTGCTCCCATCTAAAACTAAGCAGACCGATGCGAAAACAACTTTTTACCCCTTGTCTCCATCGCCAGTTTCCTTTGTAGAGCACTATGGAAAGTATCTATAATCTAGAGATGCTGTATGATGTATGTGCATTTACTCTGTTTTTGGTACTGATCTGTCGGTTGTAGCTCCAATTCGATGAGCTCGGTTTCATAATTTCGGCTCCATGTGTACTCACTCTCCAAACGCCAAACCATTATGCACTGCTTCGCTACAATTCTTAGTCTTCTTTACTTGTTGAGCAGTAGGTCTCGTCACCCATTGTACATACAGTGCTACACATTTGAGTGCTTACATGATATTTGACCAAAGGAGCTTCCTGCCTGCACCCAAAACGCACCCGAACATATGTTATTTCTTTGTGATGAAAAATGAAGACTACAATGATAAGATCACAAGCTAAAACAAAGATGCAAAATTGTTAAGCTTGCTTACCTGCAAGCTGATAATTTTCAACTCAGTCGCTAGTATCATCCTCAACGTCGGCATCAAGGAACTTGATTTCCAGATCTTCTATTTTCTTTAAGCTTTGAATTTACAAGATTAAGAAAGCTAACTAGTTTCGTCTTAGCTTCAGCAACTTGAGCCTTAGATTTGAGATATTCCAAATAAACGAGGGCATAAGCACACAGAGGACAGTAGAAGTTTCCATCGTCATCGTGTGCAGGAAGAGAAGCCAAGCACTTTTCATGAATCATAACTGGGCAACCCTCATTAGAACAAAACAACAGCTTGCCACCTTCATTGCACTGCTTGCATGTGTATCTACACGGTGAGGGGATCCACGAGTGATCATCAATGTTCTCATACCGTTCATTTGCCTTGTTCATTTGTGTCAGATCTTTCTCCTCTTCTTGATCTTCACTTTCTTCAGCCTCATTTGAAGGATATTCTCCCAAGGCTCTTTCTACATCAGCGGTAAAAGGGATCCCATTCACCATTTCTGGAGGCAAAATATTATCATGAGATGCTTCTACTCGACCATTTCTGTTTTCAGCATCACTTGTCCCCTGTGTTTCCCCTGAAGCCATAAATTCACTGTGATCATTAGCAGTAGATCTGCTCACATCCAATTTTCCCTCTTGGTTGTTGGAGTGGTCAAAGCATTCTTTTGCCTCTGTATTAAGCTCATCGGTATTGTCTACAGTAGCATCTGCTGGGTCCAGGTTGGATTCCTTGGCTTTTCCACGGAAAATTTCATCAACTATGGAGGTATCTTGGTTTCCGTCCTCATTTTCTTCGAAGGTGTCAGGTATTATAACATCACATAAGTCTATTTTGCTGAATGAAATTTCACTTTCATCACCCAATATTCCATCTCCAGTTCCAAGGCGCTGACCAGATGAAGTTCCCTTTTCGCTCATTCTCTCATTGATTCTTTGACCAGCAAGTACTACTTGGTTATTTTTGTTGATATTGATTCCCATTGTCTCTTCTCCATTACTGGGAAATACTTCGGTGCTCTTCTTACGTGAAGCCTCTCTCAGCTGATCACACAAGAATATACAAATATGAAGTTCTGGAAAAGACCTTTTATCCTCTGATCCAATTTCAAATAACCAAATGAGCTTATACCAGTTCGAAAGTGCATTTTGGTAGACGTTGTCTTTTGTTTTCGATGAATGGTAGAAGATTCCACTTTAATAGTTCCGGTGCACCTGGTTTCAAGTCCGACAAGGGTACCTAGGGAAAAGAAAATTCTAGCAACCTTGGTGCACAGAATAAATTGCATTGGGAGGATAATAATTTGCAAAATGTCTGAACTAAAATGCAGAAACATGAAAAGATTGATTACAGATGACCATTTACCTCATCCAAGATGCATTGGAGAACATGTTCACAGCTCTCAGATAAATTGAACTCCACCTTGAATCCAACACCAGAAGCAACACCATTATTCTGTCTAGGACTAGAGTCAAACAAATAAACCAAGCATCTGAAAGCCACCATCTCATTTGTATAATCACCCAGATAATTTGGAAGTTTAGGAGCCATTTCAAAGACATCTGCAACCAACCAAAGAAATAAAGAGAAATCTCTGAAGCCTGAAATCTAAATCGAGAAATCTTTCAAAATTGAGAAATCCCTTTTAAGGGAAGCCAGGGAAGGAGATCATAGCTTATCCAACATTCCATTACCATGCAAAGTCCAGAGCTCCTTTTTGAATTTGGAAAAGTACTCAATAATCCAGATCCAGATGTCAATGCCTAAACACCCAGTCACAACACGATCTCTAAACCTGTCTGAGCACGACAATCTCGGGAGACCGACGGATGAGGTATCATTGAATCTGGACACGTCTACCTTTGACATGCCGAAAGAAATTTCACCAACCAGAAGCCCTGCTGTGCAATTTATGTGTGTAGGCATGTCACCAGAAGGAATCCCTTCCCTTGAAATGTGACAAAAAGGCACATCAACCACCACCAAAGGAGCTGTCAACGTAAATCACGATCATGTATTTGTTATACAAACAATGTTAGAAATCGACAACAATAATCTTAATGCCATTATACTGCACAAAGAAACCTGACGAAAATACTATCCATAGTCATCTAAACGACACACAAAAACCTAGCCACTGAAGCAAGTTAAACAAATACCAAGCAATGAAATGTGGAACACGGAAAAAAAAAATCCTCTGATATGATCCCTGAGACTCAATGATGTCGATCTAGGATGTGATCTAATCTCGTTTAATTTCCTAGATACAACTACCGCAAGTGTACGGGTCAATCGTAGTATTCTAGGGTCGATCACAGGGACACAGATGGATTCAACGATATCAATTACGGGTTCTACTCGGTTTTTGGTCGGGTAATAAATTGGTTGGTGGTGACGGTGATTAAACTTAAATACAAATCAAAGCAAATATAAACAGTGATTTTTAACACAATTTAATTAAGACATTGTAGGTGTCGGTATTTTACGGGTTATGTAAGGATCGCTTCTAAAAATATATTTCGGTAACTATGATCATAATTTAGGAAATTCAAGTGCGCATTTGCAAATGATTATTCTCTCGAATATCACCTTATATTCTAGGAATTTTCTTCTACCGACCTCTCGGTTCTTAATAGATTAAAATTCCTAAAAATCATTAAGTTCGCTATCACAATTTCCAGGCAATACAACCATCTCTCGATACGAAAATTACCCATTCGAATAAATGATTTCCGAATTCGAATTCCATATCTCTATGTGAATTTAAATTCTAATATCAACAATTCAATTGGCCAAAAAGAATTGCAGCATTAAAATCCATTTATTCGATCCAAATTATAAAATCGTAGTTTACCAAAATTAATTAAACACGTACGATCCTTACAAACCGTTCAATCCCTAACCTACAATGATAAAAATTACTCACGCAACATGATGATCATAATAGCAGAGTGTAGACAGAAATTCATCGTTAAATAGAAGAAAAATAAATACAGAAATAGAAATGAAAACAGAGTAAGGGAAAGAAATAGCCAGTAATTGCAGATGAAACTCTCTGACAGAAAACTCCTCCGATGAATACTCTACAAACTCCTGTAATTCTCTCCGTGTCTCTCAGCTCCGCCCCCCTCTCCAGAACCGAACTCTCTCTATTCTCTTCTTGATTTACTCCGTCTGTCGAATATGTTCTGTCTTTTGTTGAAAACTCGATATCCTCTCTTCTCTACCCTGCTTCTTCATTTAAAGAGATATGCACGAGTGAACGTCATTTTCTTTGTCGCTGGAGCGGCGCAAAACACGCGGAGTTTGTCGGACAACTCGTCGAAGAAAGCCTCGGTTCAGGAGTATGATTCGGAGGTACTTCTAGTATGCTCCGACTACTCCTCGGGTGGAGGTTCGGAGGTGAGGTCTCCACGTCTAGGTGGAGTTACCT